AATGTTATTTCGGAAAGTTTTTACAGAAAACATAGTTTTAGGAAACAATCTGCCTTAAAACAAATTTCATAGACTTTTTGGAAAAAAGATTCTTAAAACAATTAACAAAAGTTTTGCAAAATAATCTTCCGTAAACATAAACTTTGAAAAGTTTTTACGAAATTTCTTTGTAAAAATAAAAATAAACTATTCCAAAAACATACAAAACCATTAATGACAAACAGAGGATGGCCTTATCTCCATCATCTCCCTCTCTCAGGTCCTCATGTCCTATCTCTCTCCTCCCATGCTCCTTATTCGCCCATCTCTCCTCTCTCCTTATCTATCATCGCTGTAACCTCATTTCCTGAGCCCTCATCGCCATGCCCTCTCTTTCGTGCCTTATCCCCCGGACCTCATTACCACTCCCTGTCTTGTGCCTCATCGCCACTCCCTCTCTCGTGCCTCACCTCCAGGACCTCTTCGTCATGGCCTCATAGCCATGACATACATTGACACTCCCTCTATTTTGTGCCTCATCACCCAGACCACCACTCCCTCTCTTGTGCCTCATCGCAGGGACCTCTTCAGCATGGCCTCATCTCCATGATCTATATTGCAACTCCCTATCTCCCCATCTTCATGGCCTCATCGCCATAACCTCATCATCGTCGTCTTATCTCCCATGATGCATCTCACTCTTCCTCATCGTCATTGCCCATTCATATTTTTATCATGTTCTTGTGTGAATTCTGTCCCATACTGATTTCTTCGTTTTTTCACAATTGGGATTGTCGTTAAGATTTTTCATAGAAAACAAGAAACACCTTGTTTTCTCGTGAAATTTATCCAACGTTGACTCAGAAGCGGTTAACTTGAACACCACAACGTTTTCAATAACACAAAATGATTTGTTATTAATTCGTTGACCAACGGCACAAAAGAAAACAACAACTTCGAGCAAATTGACAATTGTAAAAACGCATAAGTTATAAAACAATCTGAAATTTCCTAAAACACGACACATCCCACTTATGACTCAGGAAATGAAGCAACTCAATCTCGATGATGATTTATATAGCTTGGAGAGGTAATAAAAGAAAACAAGATAATGGAAGATTTTGGGGAAGGATAAACTCGAATCCCAAAAAAGGAAACTAGGTTGAAAGACGGGTTCTGCTGTCCCCCTCTCAAAAAAAGGTGGGGAGTGGGTGCGTATACATATTCACATACTCTTGCGTTTTAAACATCTGCTTCTATGTACTTGACATTTTTAGAACTTATGCTAACTTTCCATCAAAATCATAAAACGGAAATCTATGATTCATCCAAATGCCCAAGGATAACTAAAAAAATGATTTTCGTATAACCCAAAATGGAAATCATACAATAAAGTTTCCATAACAAAAATCATTCGTAACAACCAAACGGTTGACAGAAAACATGATCTACCGATCAGAACTACTCATCAATCAATCAAAGCTTTAAATAAAAACGCAGCATATTAAAATAGTTCTCATAAATAAAGTTCCTAGAGCCAAACAAAAATATTCTAAAAGATTACACAAGCAATTCTCAGAAGACTGAAATCCTTGCGCATGGTTACATTTCATTCTGGGGAAAAAACATGCGCGACCTCTCTCTCTAATTTCCCCGATAACAAATCAAAAGGTTTAACGTCAGGCTCAAAACTACTTTTCGGCTGCAAACTTCCCGCCAATAAGCCAAAAAATAATCTCAACCACAAGGTCAAAACACGACCTTTGAGCAGCCATCACAAAAACTACTCTAAGACACGTTCTCATAACATCACATTCAGTTTTACTCGAAAAAAACTTATTTCTCAGAAAATACGAGATGTCCCAGATTTTCGGAAACTAACTTTCAAACATAAATTACTTCCTCGATCAAAGTTTCATCCTGGAAGAACTCACAAACACAGTCACCACGGACTATAAATAAACAAAAAATAAACTCAAGTTGGAAAGACAAGTACTTGCCTTCACACCATGTATGTCGATTGGCCTTGGTAGAGAAACCATACGTTTGAAATGAATTTCTAACTGACTCCCCCCCATAGAGTTTGTTCTCTTACATTCGACACATGGATTAACCGTGCTATAATAGAAATCTTAAATTTTAGTTAGTATCTTATGAATTTTTTCCGGAGAGGTGCTCGGTTCCGCAATAATTTTTTTAAAGGTTTATATCACTAGAATAACCACCATTTGATCTAATTTAGATGGACAGCTAACAAAAAATAACTCAAAATGAAGAAAATGATCAAAAGAGATTAAGTCAAAGGATCATGCTGCCCTTTGCTTTATAGATACATAAATATAAATATATAAATAATAAAAATGTGTTTTATAGTTTGAATTATATGTTTTCAAATTTGAACTTGCTTAACAACTTTTTTTTCATTTACTTTTTTCAAAATTTGTTTTTGAAATTCATAAACGCTTTTGAAACAATTTGTTATTTTTATTTTTTTTAATATTTAAACTCTATCCCTTAACTCTAAATCCTAAGTATAGATTAGTTCACCCTAAGAGTATAATCATGTATTTACTTTTTTTTTCTTGAAATATATTTACTTTTTTACTAACCTCTTTTGATCATTTTATTTTAGATTCTTTTGGTGTTAATAAATTAAAGAGGGTATCTGAGAAAAATTTTCATTTCTAAATATTTGTTACATTAAGTTAAGTTTTTTTAAAATATTACACTGTATGATAGTTTTAAGTTTTTAATAACACAAAAGGACAGTTATGACTACTGAGATAGTTTTTGTTAACTAAAAGCACTGAACTAACTTTGGAAATTGGTCACTTTTCTATTTTTCTCGTGACCAGACATTTGAAACCTAAAAATATAAAAATGTTCAAAACTTCTTCCTCACATCGTCATACTTTTCCACCGATTCCTGAGCAACCGGAGCATGTGTTTGTCGTCACATCTACACCGTCGTGGTCTGTTGAAGTTCATTGGGTCAGATTTTTTTCCACCGCCACAATATTTCTTTTTCGCCGCATTTCTAGTTTTTCGCCAAGACTCTTTCTTCTCGGCCGCAATTCTTACTTCTCATCTTCGTGTTTTCACTTCGTCTCTGTCGTCACCGTGACCTAAGCTCTCGCCGCTGTCGAAACGTCCTCTCTTTTCATTCACCGCTAAGTGAAACATGGGTGGTTTAATCTTGGAATCACATTCGGTCCTCAACTTTAGCTTATCTTTAGTGTTTACAAGAAACTCTCGATATGCCGTGTTGTATCTCAACTCATCTTTCCTTGTCGTGATTCATCATCATCGTGACCTCCCTCCCTTTCTTACGCGCTCTGAAACTCGCATGATAAGCTTGAGAACATCAATAGCTAATTTGGGTATTTTTGCATATTTGGTCCGTAAACTTATTTGCTATTTATTTTGTAACTCCAATACTTTTTAAATGTAAAAATTGATTCTTAATTTCGTCCCAAACTTCAGAAATTATATTTTAACTCCTTGTAGTATGAATACCTCTATGAAAATACAATAAACTAAAGACACACCAAAATGATTTAAATGAACAAAAGAAAATATGAAGTAAAAATATATGTACACACCGAACTGTACAACAATACACATGTAAAATATTAAACTATGTACACAAATATTTTATCATTCATATGTACAACAATACACATGTACATCTGATTCACAGGCATATCTGGTGAATTGTTAGATATATTTGCACTTTGCAATATTTTTCACTATTCACATATACACCAAATTGTACATTACACATATAATGACAATCGATTCATTATACAATTTAATTGAACACATATATGCACAAAATCCATCTACATATATCCTAAAATAAATTAAAATCAAGTGCTAAAAATCATTAAAATTACTAGTTATGAATAAAACACATAATTATGTGACAACAGTTTTCATATACGTTATTATTAGTTTGATTGATCTATTTTGTACATATAATATTGTACATATGTACACAAAATTACATATGTAAATGTGTACACATAATTTATATAATAAAATTTGGATACTTTTTCAAATTGGGTATTCTTTTCCCGAAAACATCTTAATAAGTATACACATGATCTTGTACATTATCGGATTTTATTTACATGACAATGTACACAGATTTTGTGTATTATTCATATCTAATGATTTTTAGCTTTTGATATATTTGTGTACATATGTAAATGTGTACGCATAATTTATGTACATATATTAACGTGTACACACAATTTATGTATATATGTAAACGTGTACACATAATTTAAATAGTATATATGTAAACGTGAACACAATTTGAAATATAACCAAATAAAACAAAATTATCTACAAATCAGAAAAAAATTGGAACAAAAAAAGAAATAAAACAACAATATAGACCAATGTTACAAAAATCATAATATTCGTTTGGTCTAGATTGCACAGCTAAAAGTCTAGGGGTAAATTGTTAAAAGCTTGAACATATTAGAAGTTTGAAAAAAACAAAAAAAAAACAAGTAAGAGGTGGAAGATCAAATATGAAAATAACCAAAAATGACCATTGTTGATGTGGTGAAGTTTTCTCTTTGATTTGTGACAAAAGTGATGAATATTTTGGTGGTCGACCACAACTCTGATTCCAAGCATGACGGCCATGACTAGCAAGAAATAATGTGGATCACGGTAGATCTATGTTGGAATGGAACTTGCGGTTACCAACAAAATTTTCCGGCTGTTTTGTCTATGATGGAATTCTCCGATAGTTTACAACGATGACGTTTTTCTTACTGCCTATTTTTAAGTCATCACTATGTACAAGAAAGGTGAAGATAATGATATTAATATGTGAGAAAGGTGAGTTGAGAATAGAAAGTGGTTTATAGTGTTATAAAAACTCAAAAACTAGTAAATGACTTGTTTTTCTTTTATCCAATAACACTTATTCTTTTTGAGCAACTCAATAACACTTCTAAACCCGTAAAAAGTAGTAAAATCTCAGACGTACAGCTATACACGGCACATTTTGCAATTTTGTGCTTTCAGGTCGCTCTCTCTCGCTTCTATTAGCTGTAAAACCCTAACCAGCGCCATAGCTTAGGGAGGATCCTGATTGAGAGAGCGAGAACAAGAACAAGAACAAGAGGATCATCTCTCCGTTTTCTTCAGGTAAACTCACAATTTCTTTCTCGGAAATCTGTTCTCGAGCAATGGCATACTTTCCACCCTTCGTCTTCTACTTGATGGATTGAATTCTAAAACTGTTGTAGCGCTCAGATCGGTTCTCTGATTTGTGCTACACTCCGCTTTATCTCTTCGCAAAATCTTCGTCGCATTTCGTTTCGTTTTGCCAATTGCTTATCCCTTCTAACGAGTGGCGAATTAATTTTCAAGGACGCCATCAGCTACTTGTATTGGATTTACAATAGAAATTAGCATCTAGATCAGATCTCTCTCACTCTCATATCTCCACTTTGCTGAGAAGGTAGGATTTAAAAGTGGAATCACTGATCTAGTTGCTGATGATGAATTTTTGTGTCCATGAGAACAGTAGGCTATGGCGATGTTAGGTGCACAGCAAGTTCAAACATCAGCTTGTACTCCTGATATTGTATGTGATCCACTTTTCTTTTCTTTTTCTTTTTCCTAGCAGATTTGAAATTTGTGTTGTATTTATTCAAGTTTGTGGCGTTTACAGGTTGGGAATGCATTTGTGCATCAGTATTACCACATTTTGCATCAATCCCCTCAGCATGTCCACAGGTTTTACCAAGAGATTAGCAAGTTAGGCCGCCCTGAAGATAATGGTACGATGAGCATCACTTCTACCTTGCAAGTGAGTCTACTAACTTACTTTTCAAGTTAAGTGGAAAGTGTTGCTGAATACGAGTATGTATTTTGAGCAGGCTATTGACAAGAAGATACTGGCACTTGGATGTGGTGTAATGGGTGCCGAGATTGCATCTGTGGACACACAAGAGTCTTATGGCGGTGGTTTTCTCGTACTTGTGACTGGCTATTTGACGGGGAAAGATGGTGTCAGGAGGACGTTTACTCAGACCTTCTTCCTTGCTCCACAGGAGATAGGTTACTTTGTCTTGAATGATATGTTCCGATACATTGATGAAGCCACAGTCGTGTGTGGCACTCAGTTTCCGGTTAATAACATCCAAGTTCTTGTCAACATTCACCAGGGTAACATCTGCGGCGTCCTTCAAGTTTCTATTATAAGCGTTGTAAAACTTTCTTTCTTTTTTTTTGTGCCTTAGATCCACATGCTGCTCAAGATATTACAGAAGACTTTGTTCAGGAGAAATATGTCCAAGAGAATCATGTTGTTGAGCAGTCTGATGTGTTGTCGGATAGCATTAATGGTCCTCAAGTGTTCACTCCCACTGAAGAGGAACAGGCATCAGTGACAGAAGAAGTTCCAACGCCTGGTATAGTTAACGAAGCTCCCATTGATGTGCAGAAGGTTGGAGAGTCTGATTCTAGGACTGGTGAAGTTCCAAAGAGATCTTATGCATCCATTGTAAGTAACATACATTTGGGTTGTGTAATATCTCCTAACTATCAAGCTCATATGAGATTCTGGCCTTCTCCGTCCTCAGGCTTTAACGCCACTGGTGTATGTAACTATAATCTGTAGGTGATGGTTATGAAAGAGAATGCTGCACCGATGTCTGCTTCGAGAACTCCAACTAAGGTGGTGGAACCAAAGAGACAAGAAGATCAAGCCACTCATGTCCCGCCACCAACACCCTTTTCTGAGAAATCAGATTCAGGAGCAAATGTAGCTGTAAATGGGAACGATCAACACAATGAAAGAGGTAAGTCCATATGCTTGTGGCTCTCATGTTATTCTTTGTTTTCCCTTAACGGTAAACATGCTTAGCTTCAATCTATCTCATTTCTTGATTCCGTAACAGCTGCAAGTCCATCCATCTATCTTAAGGGCTTGCCGCTTGATGCAACACCATCCTTGCTCGAGAATGAGTTACAGAAGTTTGGAGTTATTAGGACCAATGGAGTTCAAGTAAGAAGCCAGAAGGTAAGAAAAAGTCTTTATCTTTATTATTGCTTTACGGTAATGTTCATTACTGATATGCAGATTAGTTATTCCTTTGACTACTATGCTTTACAGGGATTCTGTTTTGGTTTTGTTGAGTTTGAAGCCATTAGTTCTGTGCAAAGCGCAATCGAGGTAACAACAAATGGTATTATGACTGAGGCTATGATCTGAGGCTAATTAACTGTATCGATTTGGGGATTTTTAAGGCATCACCTATCATTCTCAATGGGCAGAAAGTAGTCGTAGAGGAAAAACGATCGACCGGAAGAGGCAAGTTTGCCTTCAACAACATAAGAGGAATGAAACTCTCATGAACCTAACAGATTTATTCGTCATTCATTGCTGGAACAGGGAACTGTAGAGGACGTTCAGCGTTTGGTGCAGGAACAGGCTACAGAAACGAAGGTGGAAGGGGTCGTGGGCGCTTTGGAGGTGGAAGAGGAGGAGGTAATGGCCGGAATGATTTCAACGGATATGGTAACAACAGGGGAAGCAATAGGGAAGGATACGTAAACCGAGCAAATGGTGATGGTGGTGGGTTTCCGAGGGTTAGTGGTAATCATGGACGTGTACGACGTGGCGGTGGTGGATCTGATGCTAACAGAGCTACTAAACCTGTGGATGCTCCTCCTCACGTTTCTGTCACTGCGTAAATGTGCGTTTCAAGCAGACAAAAAAGGCTCGAATTGTTTTAGAGAAATTAGGCTTAGTTCTATGACCAAAAGACAACTATTATTCTCTTTTCCCTAGGGGTAGCACAAGTCAAGTACTTGCCATTTTTGATATATTTAGTACTTTGTTTGTTTTTTCAAAGGGTTTTTAGTGATTTAAACCTCCAACTATTTTTAAATCGGATAAAAACCTCCAACTAAAATTTTATGTTTTTAAACCTCTAACTATTAAACCGTTAATGCCGTTACCCTTCCGTTATCAAAATCGTTTTTTCTTAACAGAGACCCGTTAAATCGAAACACCGCGTTTCATGTAATTTCAAAAACGACATAAGGTTCTTACTATCAATATATATTTTATTGATTTAAACCTCCAACTATTTTTAAATCGAATAGAAAACCCCTAAGAAATTTTTTTATATTTTTAAACCCTCAACTATTAAACCTTTAATGTTTTTAACCCTCTGTAAACAAAGTCATATTTTCTACACGGGAAACCATAAATTGAAACACAGAGTTTCATGTAATCATATAAACAACATGAAATGTTTAAACCCCCTATATCAATGAGTAATGATAATCACAATTCATCCTCAAATAAAAAAATGAATATGAGAGAAATAATTAGGGTTGATTGCGTACTGTTAAGGTAGATGAGCTTCCAACCTAAAACCAATTGGTGATAAGTGGAGCGGCCCATCTATCTTATATACTAGATATAATCTCTTGCAACTTCTGATGTGGGACCTTTGTCCCTAATACGTCCCCTCGAGATGATGGCTCTTTGGCGTCAATCTCGGAATGTTCGGGCAAAGACCGATGGGCCGAATTTGGGCTGGATCGATAAGGATCGGGTTGGACTTTGTGGATCATGGACTCTGATACCATGTTAAGATAGATGGACTTCCAATCTAAAACCGATTGGTAATAAGTGGAGTGGCCCATATATCTTATATATTTCTTATAATCCCTTCCAACAACCGATATGGGACCTTTGTCCCTAATACGCCTCTTGAGATGATGGCTCTTTGAGCGTCAATTTCGGAATGTTTGGGCAATGATCGATGGACCATTAAGATAAAATAGAGTACAATAAATAGGTGAAAGACAAAAGAAAATAAAAAGTGGAAAACAATACAAAAGCCAGCGCAACACATATTTCTCTACATAAACCAAGAGAGAAAAATGAAACAATTTACTATGTTTCAACAGTAACTAGCGAAACTGCAAGTTGAAAATTTTCACCTGATTGGCTAAATATTAGCTGGAGTCAAAGTAAATATGTTTTACACTTAAAATATATCGTCAGAAGTGCCATACAATCATAGCCTAAAATTAGAAAGAATAGAATTTTTGGACTGACCTCACCTTCGATGAAAAGGGAAAAGAAATTTAATTTTTTTATTTAAGGATAAATTGTGATTGTCATTGCCCATTGATATAGGGGGTTTAAACATTTTCTATCGTTTATATGAACATGAAACTCTGTGTTTCAATTTAACGGTTTCTCATTTAGAAAATATGACTTTGTTTACAGAGGGTTAAAAACAATAAAGATTTAATAGTTGAGGGTTTAAAAATATAAAATTCAATGTTGGGGGTTTTCTATCCGATTTAAAAATAGTTGGAGGTTTAAATCACTAAAATATATATTGATAGTAAGAACCTTATGTCGTTTTTGAAATTACATGAAACGCGGTGTTTCGATTTAACGGGTCTCCATTAAGAAAAAACGATTTTGATAACGGAAGGTTAACGGCATTAACGGTTTAATAGTTGGAGGTTTAAAAACATAAAATTTTAGTTGAAGGTTTTTTATCCGATTTAAAAATAGTTAGGGGTTTTAATCACTATAAACCCTTCTTCAAATGATATAATTTTAGACTTGTACTTGATTTACTAAAAACGAGTATTTGCATTTTCAAGTACTTAATAAAAAATGGTATACTTGCAAATACTTACTCTATTTTACTAATTATTGCTTCTAAACTGATTTATAAATTATTATAAAATTATTTGTAAATAATTTAGTAATAGTTATTGAATTTTAGAAAAAATTAATTAGTTATAATTATAATCTAAACATTTTTAATAAAGAATATTTTTTACTTTTATATGTTTATAATCGATATATGATAAATATAAAATTAAAAAAAAACTCTATAATATTTCTATAATATAATACTCTTAGCTCACTTATTTTCTAAACAAATAATTTGATTATAATTTAGAAATTTTTTTTCTTTAAAAGTAAAAAGCGGATAATAAATCAAGTAATAAATCACGAATAACAAACGAATAACACCAAGTAATTATTTTTATTTTATTACTTCGTACTTGTCTTATACTTGTAAGTAATTGAAATAAACGATTTGATACTCGACTTGAACAAAACTGAGTACTCGACTTTAAGAGCCAAGTACGAATCAAATAACGAGTATAAGCCGAGTAGCAAATAATTGTGCCCACCCCTATTTTTCCCTGCGTCGCCCATTTTGTTAATTGGAATTACAAATTTTGCGAGCCAGGGTAAGTTTCGTCAGTCTTTAGCAACAATTTTGAAAATTCTAAACCATTTCAGCTTGAACCGGTAAAACCTGACCAGGACTGCCACTACCAGTAACTTCGTTTGATATAAAACTGATTCACAAAATTCCGTGAGCATATGATAACTGCCGAGTTAGATAGGCAGTCATGAGTTTCGCAACTCAATGTAAAAATGAGATAAAATTGCATAATGAAAATTACCATAGTACATAATACTACATTATTCTAATTCCCCAAAAAATATATAAATGAAACACAAAAATAAGGTTAAAACCTCAGAGTCTGAAGCAACAACATTTGCTTTCAGATTCTGTTGTTGATAAAGGAAACAAAAAGTTCATAGTTCAAAGGCCGAAATTGCAAGCCTGAACAAACTCCAGATCGTAATCCACGTGCTTGGTCCAAAGTGGTCGGAACTGGTTCATAGCTATGTCTAGCCACGGCTTCATATTACCGTTGAAGTGTACAACGGCAGCGTTACGGATCTCATCCATACTAATACTCGGATTGTAACCCAGCCCAAGCACATGCCATGTTTTGTCCAGCGGCTTTGTGGTCGAGTAAAATGTGATCAGTCCCGGTGGCAACGTTCCAAGTTTCCACAGAGTCCTGTTCTCATTCTGCAGTTCATACAACACAACAACAAAAGTCAAAACACAAAGAAACACAATGTTGTCAACTATATCACAAAAGGTTTACCAGATTTTGCCAGTAGTGATATTCTTCTGTGCACTTCTCTCTTCTCCAAGCATCAAGATCAAAGAAGTTCATTCCATAAGCCCACGCGCATGCTTTCGGATTAAACTTCTCTTTGATCAAAGGATGCGAGAAGTTCATGTACTGAGCATACCGATGGAACGAACCAAAACAGGTCTCTACAGCTCCATTCACTTTCCCATCCATATCAATCTCCCAAAGGCCCGTTAAATCCTTCTGCACAACCACATCATCGTCCAAAAACAGTATCCTATGCAGCTTCGGGTACATCTCAGGCAAATAGAATCTCAAGTGATTCAATATAGACAAATACTTGGGGTTCCTAAACTTCATATTGGTCGTATCCTTAGTCGCATTCTCGAGCTTATTCTCGAAATAGAACTTCTGAAGATTGGCAGACTCCAGCTGCTTCAACACAGGCACGTAGGAAGAGTTCAAAAACGTATAGTCCTCAACAGCTTTCACTTCTACATGAGCTCCTTTATACTCTTTAAGCTTAAACATAACCTGCATCGCACCGAGATTCATCTTATCCGTCACGACATGGAAGACATGCTTCCACGGCTCCTTTGCATTCTGATAAGCAAGCGCTTACCCAGAATTAGGAGATAAGAAAGAGAGAGAAAGAGATTAAGATAAGAGGGAATATTAATTAAGTGATCATTTGATAAACCCAAATGTATTACACTCTCGTGACTATATAGTAGTAAGTCACCTTTCCTTATTAATAAAACGACATAACAATAATAAACACACCATACTAAAGACTCTTCTCCNTACACTCTCGTGACTATATAGTAGTAAGTCACCTTTCCTTATTAATAAAACGACATAACAATAATAAACACACCATACTAAAGACTCTTCTCCACACAGAGTCTCTCCTTCCTCATTTCCCTCCAACTAGCCACTCTTGAATGTCTTCATCGACCTCCTCTTCTTCTGAACATAAGCTAAAGGCACAGCTAGCTTATCAATACCCCCCCGAAGAAGACTCAGCTTGTCCTCAAGCTGGAACTCTGGAAATTGCTCCTTCAAGAGATGAACTGGTTCCCAACTATTCTCAAACTCCGGCAACTCCAACCACTTCACCAATACCTCAGGCTGACCCGGTTTACCAGTCTTGCGTATGTCCAGTATCTCCTCTGGCTCAGTATTCCACTCAAGGGAAGAGGATAGGATTAAAGGGAGCTCTTGTACCTTAGTGGTAGGTGCCACGGCGCGTTTGAGCTGAGAAACATGGAACACGGAGTGGATCAAACTGTGTTGTGGAAGAGCCAACTTATAAGCCACCTTCCCAACCTTCTTCTCCACACGGTAAGGACCAAAGTATCTGGGAGCCAGTTTCTCCGCTCTGCGAACTGCCACCGAACCTTGACGATAAGGGCGCAGCTTTAAATACACCCAATCTCCGACCTCAAATTCCACATCTCTGCGCTTCTTGTTAGCAGATAACTGCATTCGAGCTTGAGCAACAGCCAAGTTATCACGCAACTCCTGCAACAACTCATCCCTACTCTGCACCATCAATTCTACCTCAGCATTAGAAGAAGGAATGTCACCATAGCGCAGAAGGCGGGGAGGGTCTCTGCCATACAGTGCCTTGAAGGGAGTAGTGTTAGTCGACGTGTGATGGGAAGTATTATACCAATACTCTGCCCATGGAAGCCATTGAACCCACGAACTTGGTTTCCTGCCCGCAAAACACCGCAGATACGCTTCCAAACATCGATTAACCACCTCAGTTTGCCCATCAGTCTGAGGGTGATATGATGTGCTCTTGTGTAAAGCTGTACCTTGACTAGCAAACAGTGAAGACCAGAACTGACTGAGAAATACCTTATCTCTATCAGATACCATAGTCTCCGGAAACCCATGCAGTTTAATCACCTCCTTGATGAACACCTCTGCCACAGTCTTGGCCGTAAATGGATGCCTTAGTGGAATGAAATGAGCAAACTTGGTCAATCTATCAACAACCACCAAGATTACGTCAAACCCTTTGGACACAGGAAGGCCTTCCACAAAATCAAGACTTATATCAGACCACACTTGTTGAGGGATAGGCAGTGGAGATAGCAGACCTGCTGGAGTCAAAGTTGAGTACTTGTTCTGCTGACAAATTTCACAGGCCTTTATGAACTCTGTCACATCTCTTCGCATTCCCTTCCAATATACTTCCCGTGCCATTCTCTTGAAGGTTTTCAACACACCTTCGTGACCTCCCACTGGGCTATCATGGAACTGCTTCAGCAACGTCGGAATGAAAGGAGACTGAGCCGGAACAACCACTCTGCCATCCTTGAACAAATTCCCATTTCGCAAACTGTATCCTTCATATCCAACGTCGCCCCGCTTGAGAGCCAACACAACCTTACTAAGCGCCTCATCTTTCTCAATCTGCAGAGCCAATTCGACCAGGTCAATCGATAAGGGAGCTGTCAACTGAAACTCCTTAAATTCCTCCACCAGTTGTTGTCTAGACAAAGCATCAGCCACACGATTCTCCTTCCCTGGCCGGTACTCAATTGTATAGTTCAACCCCAAAAGTTTCGAAGCCCATTTTTGTTGCTCCACAGAGACAGCTCTTTGCTCCAGCAAATGACGCAAGCTCTTCTGATAAGTGCGGATAGTGAACTGCTTGCCTGTCAGGTAGTGACGCCACTTCGTCACTGCAAATACAATGGCAAGGAGCTCCCTCTCATAAACTGACTTCACCCTGCCTCTGCTTGAGAACCCTTTGCTGATGAAAGCAATGGGCCTGTCATTTTGAGATAACACCGCCCCAATTCCCGTGCCAGACGCATCTGTCTCCACTACAAAAGGTTGCTGGAAATCAGGTAGAATGAGGACAGGCACACTGGACATGGCTTCTTTCAATCTTGTAAATGCCACTTCAGCTCCTGCATTCCAATCGAATCCATCTTTCCTCAACAAGTCAGTCAGGGGGCGAGCAATTTTTCCATAACCTTCCACAAACCTCCTATAGTAACCCGTCAGACCCAAGAAACCCCTCAAAGCAGTCACATTTTTAGGCTTGGGCCAACTCCTCATTGCTTCGATTTTCTCAGGATCTGCAGCTACTCCCTTTGCAGATATTATGTGTCCCAAATACGACACACTCCTCTGTCCAAAGGCGCACTTCTTCTGGTTCGCGTAAAACTCATGTTCTTGCATGACATTTAGGACTTGTCTCAAATGTTCTTGGTGTTCTTCTTCACCTCTACTGTACACCAAGATATCATCGAAGAATACTAGCACAAACCTCCTTAAGAAAGGCTTGAAGATATCATTCATCACCGATTGAAATGTTGCTGGAGCGTTAGTAAGGCCGAATGGCATTACCAAAAACTCGTAGTGTCCTTCATGCGTCTTAAAGGCTGTCTTTCCCACGTCTTCTTGCCTGACCCTGATCTGGTGATAGCCAGACTTCAGGTCCAATTTTGAGAACACCGTAGCGCCAGCCAGCTCGTCCAACAACTCCTCTATCACCGGTATCGGATAACGATCTGGTATGGTGCTCTTATTAACTGCCCTATAATCCACGCAGAAACGGAATCCCCCATCTTTCTTTTTCACCAACAGTACTGGACTCGAGAACGGGCTAATGCTAGGTCTTATTATGCCCGCTTGCAGCATCTCTTGTACCAGTTTCTCAATCTCATTCTTCTGAAAATGGGAGTAACGGTAAGGACGAATGTTTATTGGCGAGGTACCTGACTGAAGAGTGATTGCATGCTCACGAGAACGTTTTGGAGGTAAGCCTGTGGGCATGTTAAACACTTTGTCAAACTCTTGCAGGAGCCTCTGAATTTTCCTGCTCGGTACCACCTTCTGCTCCTCTTGGTTCCTCTCAAAGAGTGCCTGCAACTCCAGTAAAATCACCTCTTCCTCTTGTCCCACTAACTTTTCAATGGTGTTCAACGAGACTTGTTCCTTGAGCAACGCTGGGTCTCCTGATATGGTTATCCACTCGTTACCCACTTGATATTTAATAGTGTGTAGCCCCCAATTGATCCGAGTCTCACCCAACTTCTCCAGCCAAGTATAACCCAAAACCAAGTCTGTAGTAGCTCCCAGCTCAAAGAGTAGATAATCCTCCTTGATGATCGTCCCTTGAACACTCACTTCTACTCCTTTCGCCACTCCACTGCTAGTGAGCATCCTTCCATCTCCAATTGAAACTCCGAATTCGTTGGTTGGGTCCACGGACAAGGACAACGCACTCACCACTCGTTTTGAAATGAAGTTGCAAGAGGCTCCGGAATCTATGAGGACAGCAACTTCTACATCCTTTATTTTTCCCAACAACCTCATAGTCTTCTTGGATGTAATTCCTACTATGGATTGCAAGGAAAGTACTTGAAGTTCTTGAACTTGATGCTTCTTCACAGAACTCTCCTCATCTCGCTCTACATCCGAGTCTTCCTCTGTCTCAGTTTCTTCCTCCACTTCCATACATTTAAAACGCTGATAGGACTTACAGCGATGACCAGCAAAGTACCTCTCACCACATTGTCTGCAAGGATTCTGAACAGCTCGCTTATGCTCCCCCCCTTTGTCCTCCTTAGGTGAATCCAAGGATTTCCTAGCCGGGGTTGTGTCTTCCTTCATCGCAGAACTGTTACTGCGGTTTCTTTGAGTAGAGCTCAAAGCTGGAGCGGAGTTGGTGCGGTGAAAAGATCTGGAGTTATAGTTACTCCTCTCATTTTCCTGCTCTTCAATGATCTTGGCCATATCAACTATTTCATCCATCCCGGTTGGCCTTAACCTCACCACTTGCTCTCTAAGACTCCGCTTCATTCCGTGGAGGAATATTTCTTCAAGTACATCATTAGGCACATGTGGTACCTCAGCTGAAAGTTCTTCAAAAGCTTCTCTGTAATCCGAGACAGATCCAGTTTGACGCAACCTTAGGAGTTGACTCAGAACCGTTCCTCCTCTGGTTGGTTTAAACCTCTTTTTAAGCTTCATCTTAAAATCACGCCAATCCAGCACATCCTCTCGTACTTGGATCATCCTCAACCAAGTAATAGCCGCTCCCGTCATACAAGCCATCGCTAGCGTCAACTTTTCATCTTCCTCGGTTTGGTTCACAGAAAAACATTTCTCTACTCGAAAAATCCAATCATCAGGATTCTTACCTTCAAAATCTGGTAACTCTAGCTTTTTCTTTTTCGGTGGAGACTCCTTGTGCTGGGAACCCAAGTACTCCGAAGATCCACCTCTGAACGCGGAAGAGTTGTTTCCCGTCTCTTGAGTGGGACTCAACTTCTCCGGTGCTAACAGTATTCCTTTACCGCGGTCTGGAATCACCTTGATCTGTGGACTAGAGATCGGAATCTCGCTTCCACTGGACGAACCCAGATTCAACGCTGAGTTGTTCGGCGCTGGTGGGATCTGAGGCTGGAGTTGCTTCAACAACGCCATAAGCTGATTCTGTCGCTCCTCCGCCTTCTGTTCAAGCTCCAGGAATCGCTGATGGTTTGCTTCGGCTTCCACCTTCATCTGACCTTCGATAGCAGAGATTCGTTCCGCATTAGCTGCGTTTGAATCCGTCTTCGGGGCCATGTTTAGGCTCTGATACCAATGATAAGCAAGCGCTTACCCAGAATTAGGAGATAAGAAAGAGAGAGAAAGAGATTAAGATAAGAGGGAATATTAATTAAGTGATCATTTGATAAACCCAAATGTATTACACTCTCGTGACTATATAGTAGTAAGTCACCTTTCCTTATTAATAAAACGACATAACAATAATAAACACACCATACTAAAGACTCTTCTCCNTACACTCTCGTGACTATATAGTAGTAAGTCACCTTTCCTTATTAATAAAACGACATAACAATAATAAACACACCATACTAAAGACTCTTCTCCACACAGAGTCTCTCCTTCCTCATTTCCCTCCAACTAGCCACTCTTGAATGTCTTCATCGACCTCCTCTTCTTCTGAACATAAGCTAAAGGCACAGCTAGCTTATCACATTCTTCACAGCAGAATTCACCACCACTGAAGCTGCGATCACGTTATCCGAAAAGATAGCGTAATGGTAAAGACTCGGATCCTCGAGCTCCGGTGCTCTAGCTTTCCCTTCATCAGTGTACTTCTCCGGATGAGCGATCCTCTCTTCCATCAACCTCATCGCAAGACAATGCAGCCCCTTGGGAATCGATTTCGCGGCGATCAAACTCGAGAAGGCTCCCTGCTTCTTAGTGTTCGTTAACTGTTCGTTCACAGCGAAGATCGTATCTTTAAGCTTCTGGATCTTGAGCTGGTTATCGAAGGATTCTTTAGCTTCAGCGATCACTTGGCGAGTCATTTTGATCCGTTCTTTAACTTCTTTCTCGAACTGTCTTAGCGTCGATTCTTCGATCGCAGATCCATCTGAATCGTAGAGAGCTCGGAACGTTGGTTTGTTGATGAGATCCGTGTAGTTTCTCGAAAGATCCGCGAAGATTCGTACGAGTTTCGAGTTCTCGAGTTTAAGTTTCCGAGCGTAAGAGGCGTAGGCTAGTGCTAGTGAGCGGTGGTCATCAGCTTGTTTCCGGATCTGGATCAGCCGTGGCTTGAGTGGATCCGATTTGATATCCAACATCGATCTTCTGATGGATCCCACTCCATTTGAGTATCGGATGAGATTTAGGGATTGAGAACTTACGGGAAGATGGAGATCAGGTGAATAACTAGACTCGGAAGTGAAGAGAAACGAGAGAGTGAAGAGGGAAAGTGCAATAGTGGCAGCGAAAGCCGTAAGTCTGAGTCTTACACCGGAGATGCTAATTGCCGGAGATCCGCCGCCGCGTAAAAGTCGGTGGTAAGTGGCCATTTTTGCAGGATCAGTAGAAATTCATTTAGCTATTAATGGAGTCTCTCTCAACATCTGAAATGATTGTTTTAAGGAAAAACAAAATGTCGGTAACCATTTTCTAATCTTTTTTAATAGACCTGACAGTCAAATCAAAAACAGTTTTAAGTATGGACTTTTATTGATGTAAAAAAAAAATGGACTTTTATATCATTCACACTATCAGTTAGTGTTTTCATAGCAGATCTCAAATCTGATTAGTCTTTTCATAAAAACATTATTTTTTCTGGCGCCCATAAAACATTATGTTGCTTTAACGAACAATGTAATTTTTATCAACACTATATTAAACAGAAATTGGTGTGAGTTCACTTAAACTCACCTTTAATTTGCAGTATACCCTTAAGGTTTGATCGGTTGTTATTAAATAATTTGGAGTAACTAAATTGGAGAGGAAAAATTATGGAGTAAAAAAAAAAAAAAAGAGTTAAGTACAGCATAAAACTTTTTCGCCACACAAATAAATAAAACAAACACTCACTATTTTACTCTTAGTGAATAGTTGCCAGCGAAAAAATGATTTAAACATTTTCCACTTGATTGGTTGAAAAGTAGCAGAAAAATGAGTAAGGCCCTGTTGGTTTCTTCATTCAATTGAGCCATTTGAATGAAGCTGAGCTTGTTGTTCGTTTCGACACAAAATGTACGGCTCATTCGAATGGTTCAGTTGAATGATTTTCGAAAATCTAGGTTTAATTTGAAGAATCAGTTGACTGAACCAAATCGGACCATTTGACTGAACCTGGTTCAGTTGAAATCATAAAATGTCGATATTACCCTTAGGTCAACTCAAATATTACAAACCTAATTTTCTTTTTTATCTTTTCTAGTTCGCCGTCGTCTCAGATCTCATTCTCTTCTTCTCTCGCCATGAAAGGAGCTTAAGCTTTCACCTCACCGTCGCTCTCTCACCCTCTCCGCGTATCTTACCGTCGCTCTTTCACCTCACCATCGCTCTCTCGCCCTCTCCTCACCGGTCCGTATATCTCTCTGCGCGTCTAGTCTGCGTATCTCTCTCTCCGCGTCTCTCTCCACGTCTCTCTCCGCCTCTCTCTCGCCTCAGCTCACTCACTCTCAGGTATCTCTCGCTCTCTCTCTCTCTCTATATCTCTGGAGCTTGTGTGGGAACTTGTGTGTTCATAGAGAGATCTCTGATTTTTCATGAAATTTGTTCTGTTTGTTGATGGGTTTGCTTGGTTTTCCGAATGTGTTCATGAAATTTGATATGTTTGTTGATGGGTTTGCTTGGTTTTCAGAATGTGTTCATGAATGATGGGTTTGCTTGGTTTTCAGAATGTGTTCATGAAATGTATATAACCTCACGTAGTCATCTAAAATATAAGCGTATACACATAGATAATTTGATATTTCCAAATCATTAAGGTTTGTTTATAAATCAGCTTGTGGTCGAAACCAGACACATTGGTGATTGGTTCCTCTCTTAAACGAATGTTTTTTTTATTGTTGTTTCATTGGATGTGCTCTAGGAAGTACTTACTTATGGGTCACATCGTTTGTTAATAATTAACATATGTATCTGTTTTTACTTAAAGATTTCTTATATAAACCACAAGTTTAGTTTTAGAGAAATCATTTATGAAACCTCTTTCTGATGCATTTTTTTTATGTGACTTGTAGATAATTGCTGCAATGACCTCTGTCCCTGGTACTGATGTAAGTACATTCTTTAACTGAATGGTTCTCTTAGTTAAGTTTAGTCTCTGGTACTGAATATTGGAATGGTTCTCTTAGTTAAGTTTAGTCCCTGCTACTGAATATTTGAATTGTTCTCTTAGTTAAGTTTAGTTTCGTAGTTTACTTTAAGTATATTTTTAAACTGGTATTGAATATTTGAATGTTATAAGAGTTTTGCATGGACTGATGAGCAAACTCAGTTCTACCTCAAACTGAGAGTTGAGGAGAAGCTGAAAGGAAATGAAAGAAAAGGAAATCTCAATGACGTTGGGAGACAGTCCATTATCGACAAGTTTTATGAAGATTATAGGGAAAGGCACGTCTGGAGAAAATTTGGGATCAAGCACAATACTTGCAAAACTCAGTATGCTAGGTTCAAGAGGTTGATCCACAAGAGGACCAGACTTGGCTATGACTCAAATGGGTACGTAAACATGTCCGATGACTGGTGGAATCAACTTTATAAGGTACAGTCTCGGCTTGCTATTTATCGTTTGTGGTTGCTTGTTTATGCTAAGTGATGTCTGTTTGTTGTTGTTGTCTCCTCATGTTTGTGGTTGCTTGTTTCGTTTGTGGTTTTTAGGAATGTCTAGCAGCTAGAACGCATAAAGAGAATCCACTAGCAAATGTTGACTTGTTGGAGAATGTGTTTGGAGCGGTTCACGTAAGTGGAGGTGAAGGATGGACTCCTCAGCAAGGCGAAGACTGTTTGGATAAGCAAGGCACTGATGTGGATCTGGAAGGCGACAATAATGATGGTGATGCTGAAGACACTGATGTGGATCAAGTTCCTCCTACTGAGGAAATCAGTGCTCCAGCTGAATCAAGAACTGCTGGCCCTTCATCTAGTAGAACAAAAGGAAGTAGAACTGCTAACAGGAAGAGATCAAGGGCTGCGCAAGTAGGACAGACTGTAGTGGATTGTTGGGGTCAAAATCGGTACGACGGAATTAATAGCCAAAACTCTCCGCAAGAATATAAAAAGAACAGTTTTATAAAGCTCGAGAATCGTTTTATAAAACTCGAGAAATCGTTTTATAAAACTCGAGAATCATTTTATAAAACTCGAGAAATCGTTTTATGAAACTCGAGAAATCGTTTTATAAAACTCGAGAAATCGTTTTATAAAACTCGAGAAATCGTTTTATAAAACTCGAGAATCGTTTTATAAAACTCGAGAAATCGTTTTATAAAACTCGAGAATCGTTTTATAAAACTCGAGAATCGTTTTATAAAACTCGAGAAATCGTTTTATAAAACTCGAGAAATCATTTCATAAAACTCGAAGATCGTTTTATAAAACTCGAAGATCGTTTTATAAAACTCGAAGGTCGTTTTATGAAATCCGAAGATCGTTTTATAAAACTCGAGAATCGTTTTACAAAACCGCAAAAAACCGAAAAAGCCGTAAAACGCGAACTAGTCGCAACTAGTTCGCCGATGGGCGAACTAAGAAGCACTCTCTAGTTCGCCCATCGGCGAACTAAGCCGGGCCCGGCTTAGTTCGCCGATGGGCGAACTAGAGACTTCCCGGACACTCCGCGTCTCGATTTCCCGCATTCCCGATTCGAAACTTACGTCTTTCGACAAAGTCGCATTCTAAACCACGGCCAAAATATCTTCCGTTCCATCTCGATCCGACTTACCGTTCGAGTTTTACGATAAAAACCGTAAAACTTCGTTTTCTCGGAGAGAACTCGAGGAAATCGTATAAAACGGCAACGGTTAAACGAAACACCGAACATTGCCAAAACTATACGATTTTTTCGAGATTTCTCGTTAAAATCATAAAAACGCGCTTTTTAATAAAAAAACGTCGAGTAAGTCGTAAAAAACGTGTTTTTAATAAAAAAGTCGAGTAAATCGTAAAACCTTGCGATTAACTCGAGTAAATTATTAAAAACGACGTCAGATCAGAAAACGATCCCGTAAAAGTCGAAAACGGATTTATCGCAAAACGGCCCGAAAGGACCTAAAACGCGATAAAAATCCATCTCGCGATCTTAACGAAATCTAACCCGCAGATTTGACGACGTTTTGACGGTTTACTCGCAGAAGGAAAATAAAAGTCAAGTTTAAAGATAAAAGGAAGGTTTGAAGAGAAATAGAAGATTTCCGCAGAAGAAAAGGAAGGATCGAGAAGAATGGAAAATTCCCGATTTAGTCAAATCTGGGCGAAATGGAAAGATCGGATAGCCAAGGCAAGGAGTATATAAAGAGGAGGTCTAGGGNGTTTACTCGCAGAAGGAAAATAAAAGTCAAGTTTAAAGATAAAAGGAAGGTTTGAAGAGAAATAGAAGATTTCCGCAGAAGAAAAGGAAGGATCGAGAAGAATGGAAAATTCCCGATTTAGTCAAATCTGGGCGAAATGGAAAGATCGGATAGCCAAGGCAAGGAGTATATAAAGAGGAGGTCTAGGGCAGAAGCACAGGGACGAAATTCATAGCTCTCACCACCAAAACTAGCATTTAGGAATCTCTCCGTTTTTCTGTTAGTGAGCTGCGTCTCAATTAGGGTTTTCGTTCTTAAGCTTTTTTGGCTACTCTTTTGTACCAGTTCTTCGCAGATTCGGAATAAGAACCTCTTTGCTCTCTATTTCGTTTATTTTCATTCAAATTCTAAGTTATCCTTTCCATATTATTCGTTGTGCGGTTCTCGCAGATAGCCGGTTCCTCTGGAAACTTAGGGTTTTCCCGAAGTTTCCTTATTTACGATTTATTTGACAGTAGGGTGAAATCGACTCCCACAGTTTGGCGCTAGAAGGAGGGGGGGGGGGTCGGATCTATCTTACACCGTAACCGCAACATGTCCAACGAAGAAACGAAGACTGGTGACAACCAAACTCGCGGCGAACGCGACAACGTTGAAACACCGCTACCAAAAGACGCGCCTGCGGCCAACGCTACAAACGCTAACGCCGAGACCGTCGAAAAGATGCTTTCCGAGTTTAACAAAAAATCGGAAGCGCAGGAAAAGCTCATTGGTTCACTCGCAAAACGGCTCGAAACCCTAACTGCGAGAACCAAAGCAATTCGCCCCCGCGGAACTACCAAAATCCGCGGAAGGAGACTCGATTTCGGCGCTCCTACGGATCGTCCCAGAATCGATCAGGGAAACGTACCGGAAAAGGATTCCGGAAAAGAAAACCCTGACACGACGCTGAATGAATCGGAAAAATCTCCTATTCGCGAACAGGAGACCGAAGGCGACGGCATCGAAAGGGTCAACCTGGAAACGAGCGACCAGGCCGACTCAACAGACGAAGACGCCGACGTCCATCCTAGGAGAAGGAAAACTCGCAGTCCTCAACCGGAGTCATCTCCTGAATGTTCCTTTACAGGAGACGAAGGGGAACTCGACTTCGCGCGATACGCAAAAACCGCCGAGGAGCGATCTCCGGTCACTCGCAGCAAACGCCGACAGGGTCGGAAAACTGCTGGCAATCAGACCGAGATTCGCGATCTCCGCGAATACATTACCAGAACGGCCGCTGCGGTAAAAGCGGTGAAATCTCAGATTCACCACGCGACCAGCGCCGCACCCGAGATCGATCGGCTGCTGTACGAGTCTCGGAAAACGCCCTTCACGGCTCGCATCACCGAGATCAAACTGCCCGATCCCAGAAAGCTTAAGGTGCCAACTTACGACGGGACGTCCGATCCCAAAGCGCACCTGCAAGTGTTCCAGATCACCATGGGACGAGCCAAGCTCAAGGACCACGAAAAAGATGCAGGTTACTGCCGCCTCTTCGTCGAAAACCTAGAAGGAGCCGCGCTCGAATGGTTTGCCAAACTTAGGCGAAATTCGATCTGAAGTTTCCGTCGACTGGCTTTGGAGTTCCTAAAGCAGTATTCGATGTTCATTAACCCGGAAACCTCCGACGCCGATCTCTGGAGTTTGGTGCACGAGGAAGACGAATCTCTCCGCGATTTCATGAGTAGATTCAAACTCGTCATGGCTAGTGTTAGTGGGATTAGCGACAAAGCCGCTCTCGAGGCGTTGAGGAAATCGCTCTGGTATAAATCGAAGTTCCGCAAATGGATAACTCTCGAGAAACCGCGGACGATCCAGGACGCGCTCCATAAGGCCACCGACTTCATAACCATCGAGGAGGAAACTAAAATCCTGTCCGAGAAGCATAAGCCGACGAAAACATCCGCAAAGGATAACGCGTCCGAGCAGATGCAGAAAAAGAAAAGCTCTCGTAACGACAAATTTGTCCATCACGAGGGACAGGATCTCCGAGGGGCGCATAACTACGCCATTAACTCCGGTTCGGAGCAAGGGCGGACTATGGGTAACAGGTGGACGAGAAATTCGAATTACGACGAGAATTCTTTCTGCGACCTCCACCAAACCCATGGTCATTCCACCGTGAACTGCAAAGTTCTCGGCGCCAGACTGGCCGCAAAGTTAGTCGCGGGTGAACTTTCCGAGATATCTAGCGTCAAGGATCTTATCCGCGATTCGGACCGCGTCCCGAAGAATGACCAAAACACGCAAATTCAGCCTCAGGGAAATCAGTCGGGCGAAAAACGCGGACGAAAAATAGACGAGAAGGGTAACGATGCTAACCGCCGAAAAATCAACATGATTATCGGCGAATCGCCATACTTTAGCGACACCGTCTCGTCAATACAATCCTACCAACGTAAAGCTGAAACCGGCTCGAGTTGGAAGGTGCCGATGGACGATTCTCCGACAGGGGTAATCTCTTTCAACGATGCTGAAACCGGTGGAATCGACCAACCGCACGCTGATCCCCTAGTCATCGATTTGGTGATAAGCGATCTAGAGGTCGCTCGAATCCTGGTTGATACCGGAAGCACGATCAACGTTATCTTCCGCAACACACTAGCACGAATGGGAATCGACCTCTCGGAAGTCGAGCCGATTCCAAAACCGCTGACTAGTTTCTCCGGCTAAACGTCGATGACCTTGGGATCAATCCGACTACCGGTCGTCGCGAAAGAAGTGACGAAAATCGTTAACTTCACGGTAGTCGATTTCCCGGCTATCTACAACGTGATTATGGGCACGCCTTGGATAAATTTCATGAAGGCGGTTCTGTCCACGTATCACTTAGGCATCAAATTCCCGACGCCTACGGGAGTCGCTGTAATTTGGGGATGCCAAAGACAATCGCGATCTTGCTTCCTGGCCGAACATAAGCTGAGGCAATTAGCGGTCGCGATCGTGAAACCGAAACGGGCAAAGGTCACGCCACCGCCAGCAGACAACGACCCGAAGCAAGCAACGGCCAGAAAACCAGAAGTTTCCGCACCCATCGCTTCCACCCAACCGGAGGAAACAATCCCGGACAAAGATATCGATCCCGCGACTGAAGCAATCGAGAAATCTACGACAGCCGAGTAAGCACGCTCGCGCGAACAATCAGAACTACGAGATGGCTTGATTTCCGAAAGGAATACGTAGGCAGCTCGCCTAAAGACGAGTTCAGCTATCCCCCCTTCAAAAACGCGGGGGGG